CTGCGCCAGTTACCCGGGGGTGGCACCTAAGGGAAACACGTCTCTGTCCTGTAGGACACCACTGAGAGGACGATATGTTTTGATCATTAAAGTTGGCAGTGACGACCTGCCCTTGCAGTTATGTGAAGTGGAGGTTCACGGTACATATATGCTTAAAATCTTTCCCAAAACAGGCGGATTCCAAGTAAAGAATTAAGTTATGCCCCCAGATTTTGTTACTACATGTACATCATTTGTTCTTTGGTCCACCTTCTGGACAGTTTCTGAAAACCAATCTATAATATTTTGCTAATGTTACAAAAGAACAAACTTCGAAACAAATTAACTACAGGAATCAAAACATAATCTTCCTGGCGGTGGTAAAAGATAAGGACACAAAAGCCGACTAAATGTTTTCATATACATGTAGTATCAAAAGGTATATCCTAGAGAAATACCAAAGGATATCGTTTCATTTTACCCGAAAAATGATATTTCATCGGATATTTTCTGTGCCCTTTATAACCCTTTGAAGCGCTGGGATATGCGATGGCTATTCATAGTTTTAATAATAATAATAATAATAATAATAATAATAATAATTATTATTATTATTATTATTATTATTATTATTATTATTATTATTATGTCGTTATCACATGAACTACAGTACATCATGAAGGTTATGTATTTTACAAAGTAAGAAATAATAATAATAATATATAATAATTCCAGGTATTTCAAGCACAGCAAGGTACAAGTTGGTAGCAGCAGGTGCCCGTGCATCCCTTGTTCCCATATCCACGCTTAATTTCATCAGTCTTACTGAATGCAGCATCTCCTGTATGCAGCACTGGAAGTGTGCAGCTATAAACGTTCTCTGTATCGGAAATGACCAATGTACCTGTGAACTACTGCCTAGCACTGCCCAATCTGGCGACTTGCAGGCAGACACAGGTTATGACTATTATGAAGATAGCTGCTTGGGTGCAGTGTAGACCGAGATGTAGTCTAATTAACAAGGCGGAATCACTTTTTTTGTGCAAAATGTTTTATTAAATGCAAATGGTACATTTTGGTGGCATGTGTGTTGATGATCGTGGTAATTTACGTGAGACACGAGTATATTCACTAACCTTCCCTAAAACTGTTTATTGATCCATAATATGCGTACTTTTGTCAGGTAATTCACTATTGATATTGATTTAATATTATTTATTGTTATAATGGGTCATAAACTGTGCTTTACCAGCAACAGCTGGAGTAGCTTTAATCTGGTTAATTTTAATTACTCTCACTCGTATTTGCATTGTTAAGGGATAAATAAATAGTTGGAAAACATATCAGAATGTGATAGCAATGGATATATCTTAAACTATATGGATAAAATTAAAAGAAAAGCTTAAAGGGAAATAATTGTCCTTGACTACAATCAAAAGTGAAAACAACCACGATAACCGATCCTTTTCAAAAAGCCTTTACCTTTACTGGTTCGGATCGAAAATGTTACATGAACGTCTGTTGGCCTTGACCGTTACTGATATACCCTGTGCAATAAGCATTGATTTTCCTGGTAAAATCATCAATGAGTTTTTCCTCATCAAAATCCGTCCAAGCAATAAAAATCCACAATAACAATCCGCTTTTCAGATCATACCTCAGTTATAGGAACTCGTTTTTCTGACATCTATAGAGCCTGGAGATTCACTCATAGCGGTTAAAATTACAAATTTACCACCCGAAAACTGGATAACAGATCGTGCTTATCTCAACGGTTTTAGTTATGGTACATATACACGTATATTTGGTGATAACCAGAATTTGCAGAAACCTCCAGTGTAAAAAAGGTACAGAACTTAAAGGCCTAACGCTTCCTGTTGCCTGTAACGAGGAAGGATAAGATATTGTGATATCTTTCTAAGATATTCAAATTTCAAATAATAGCAGAACAAAGTGGAAGAAAAGATAATATTTACTGAAGAAACTTACAGCTAAATAAGAAAAGGGTAAAACAAGGCAAACGCTGATGTACTGAATCGATAACTTCGATAAAACCAAGGTGAAGGATTAGAATTGAACTGATAAATAATGTATCTCTCACTTCAAGGTTCATAAACAAAACACATACGTTGAGTCCATACTCAATGCAGAATAGCAGGACACCAAATGAAAAGCAATCGACCAAAGCGATGATGAGAATGGCACGTTAGATTAAATAGGCCCGAGATGAAGGGGCGTTTTGTTTTGTCTCTCAGTTTTTAAGTAAACTCTCTGTAAATATGTAGAAATACGGTGATGATAAGCAAACCTGAGGCACGATGTCAGTGTTTAAAATAATTTCTTTCCGAAGAATTGAGTTCGACTTTCATCAATTATTTTTATGTAAATTCTAACAGTGTGGATTTAATATCATTAACAAGTATTGTGGACTGAAAAACGTGGGGAACACTGTTGACAAGAGACAGAGGAGGGCTTGTTAAAACCCTCTTGAATATCAGTTTTGTTGTATGAATTTTTTGTATGTACTGGAGTCGTATTTTGTTAAGTACGCCTTATAAAATCCGCTTCATCAATACTACGGGACTCAAGGCTAGGTACATAAGTACAAATGTCTTGACGCCACCGCTGACTATAAGCACAAGTTGCATAAATTGAATTTCACTTCTGAATAAGATGCATCTGGTTAACTATGTGAAGAGGGTTCCAGTTAAAAAAAATGTTCTTAAAAGGTGGAAAATTCGGTTTATTCGCATTACCTCCTGGTAGCTTCCCGAAGGAGAGGCGGTCTTCTTTTTTTTTTGTATCATGTTGTTGTTTATTAGCTATTATCATGTCGCAGCAACCAATAATGGTGATCTTTTGGCTGATATATCCTGCTGTTAATGACACCTAATTACAACGGGTCAACACGCTCTCGCTGGACCACAGATGCCGTACAAAACAAAGCCTCATGTAGGCCTATATCATGTACTTCAACAGTGATGTTTAGATCATGTTGGGGACTTGCGTTGTGCAGGATGAAATACGGCGCCTGGACTGTCGATTGTGATAGCTGGGACATAAATATGCGATGTTCCATGCTTATAAAAAGTGAGAAGTTAAATTAACCCATCCGAGACCTCTGATGCAACCAAAGATTCATTGGCTGCGTGGTAACTCCATGATTTGCTGTACCGGACAATGTGTGTTTTTTAAATCCCATTACGCATACATATTAGTATGTTCCTCTTACCTGTAGTTCTTTTGGTCTGATGCATAATTGTGGTGAGAGTTACCATCAATAACATATCATATCTAAAAAATTAAATGAGCACATTTCCTGCAACATTTCTATATCATAAACCGATACTTCAGTTGCCTTACAGTAAACACGCGTGGTTTTGCAGTGTTTACTATCAGCTGGATCTGGCACACAAACAATGTTCTAGAATACGTCATTTGCACCAATGCAATCAGACACAAGTCCTCTTTGATGCTCGGAAAGTGACGCAACATGTACATTGGTTGATATGAAGTAGGGCCAACAAATGAAAATGTGACATACATGTAGCTTATTAAGGAATACTTTCGTTGTTGTTTTTCTCTTAATAGAATTGCTTTCTTATGCACAGCAATTAACTTAATGTATTCACCATGATTTGTGAGATACTTTTTGTACTGATTTCTGAGACAAAGTTTAAGTCTTATCGCAATAAAGTTAACCTCATATGCTGTTTATTGTCGCCAGCCTCATTTTAGCGTAATTAGGATGATTTCCATTGTTGCCCCACCTTTGTAAACAATAGGTAAATGAAACGTGAATGAAGTCACCCCAGCTTACAAACAGATTAGCTTCCCTGAGTAGCATTTCAGGCCTGAAAAATTGCTGCTAACTGCAATCAATTCGTGTAATTTGCTGCAATATGGCTGCAAATTAGAAGCAATAATATTTTTCTTTCAAAACCCCTGCAAAATCATTACTACAAACTTTTAGTTTGCAGCATTGTTGCTGCAGTATATTGATGCAAACTCATATGATAAACCCACCTCTGCCCTTTTGCAGAATATCCAGGTACCCATTTGTCGGTATTGCATTTGAAGAAACAAGGCCACTTTAAAATGGTAACGCTCATAATTACATACAGGTAACCGAATTTGCTTTTATTCATATGTATCTATTTTAAAAAATGTTTTTTTTTTTTAAATTTATTGTGTAGTCATGAGTCAAAGTCTCGTCATTAATGCACGAAACATGATCGGGCACTGCAAATGAATGATCATGCTATAATATGTTGTAGAAAACCAAAATAATTTAAGCGTATACCCTTTGACATTTGTACAACGTTCTGTTGTAGCGTGTATTTCAACATTCTTCGCTATGCCCGATTACAGTCTTTCTGTCGTCTTTTTTTGTTAAACATGGCGCAGAACAATGCTACATGTATACTTATACATTTTCTATGGCTGCAGGCAACATATCGAAATAGAAAGCATTGTTACGTAAAGAGACGTGACTCATATTTGTACAAGAAGACATTAATTTTTAATTAGACGCCCATGGCTCTGTTCTGAGCTGCCATGTATCTCATCTAGGTTTCATGCTGTATTTTGCTTTATGGTCGAGAATTTAATAAAACTTTTTGAAACAAGTCCATCAGACACACACACACACACACACACACACATATTCGGAGTAAAGTTGAATATGTGTCTTGTGGGCCTCACAACAGCATATACCCCGCCTTTTTATTGGCATGCGATTACAGCATTGCAACCAGCTGTTATCGACCGGTTGTTAATATTTAGTCACGGAAGTTTTCTCAGATTACGTGTAGCATAAATGCGTTTCAACAGAATACACAGTGAATGTGCAAACACCTGAGTTTTTTACAAGCACGGGTACCTTCGATTTTAAACGGCACAATTAAAAAAGGCGTGATATTGTGTCACTGTTTACATTCAGCGTGGAATTGGGGTAAGGTTTCTTCTAAATGATCCACTCAGTCCACGGTTTTGCTTTTTTTCGCCAGTCTCGCTTTAGGTGTTGTTTGTTCTAGGACATTTTAAAAGCCATTCTCTTGCTACAGAATTTTACTTAAAAGTATGGTGTTGCTAAGCCTGCTGCTCGTTACTATAACAGTTCTAGGTGAGTCAGACATTTGAGAGTAGCACTAAACGTACCTGTAGAAGCGATCGTATTTTCTACTACACTTAAAAACGTTTGGTTTGTGACTCTAAATCCAATAATATTCAGCAAAGCAAAATGTGAGTACAAGCACACTTCAGAGTGAACGCAAAATAAAATAAATAAATAAATAGATGAATAAATTAAAATAATAATTGATGGACCAACTGGAAGGCCGGTTACAAACATTATCGATAGTAAAACATTGTTAATAATGCAAGCGATTAGTTGAGCTTTTTTGCACGATATAGGGTACGTACGAAATCCAATGTACTTTGCAATGCCTATGTGTAAAAATGCCCGTGCAGCTGGGTGAAATGACGTACAACTAAGACAGCAGTAAAACAAGTGAGTAGATAAAATGGAATGGACGTCTCCATCGTTTTTCAAGTTTGAAAATCATTTTTGAGGAGTTACAGCGATCAACGTCTTCATTGTCCAATGGACAATTGTGGTCGGCAAAGGAAGACACAATGTGGGTACAATAGTGGCAGTAGCATCGCCCTGAATGGCGGAAAAGAACAATAGCACCTATTACGTGTAGACAACTGACCGAACATTGAGCATCCAATCTATTCAGCCTTTCAGCAACCACACCAATGTTTGATGACTACCCGCCTTCTGTAATCCACCTTAACGCGAACTTTATACGAATGTTTTGAACATGTTCGAAATTTTGCACCGCCCACATGGTGACCGTGGTGGTGGCGCGTGCACATCCTATTCACCTTCAGTCCCTATATAAACTGAGCTGCCTCCTTTGAACCTCCAAAAAGTGACCTTGCAAACTGGCCATACAATTGAACAGGCACAAGACTAATCTGTTTGTGTAAAGGGGGTTTACCGGGTGTCTTAAACACTCTGTTTGTCGTATATTAACTAGAAACTGGCTATTTGCTTAATGTTAACGGTCTTTTGACAGAGAAGAAACAAGATCAGCTGAATGATCAAAATGTATGTGCCTTTTTATCATGATCGATTAATCACGTATTTGATAAAGTTCGTTTCCAATATGCAAGATACAATGGGCCTGCTTCATTATATCATAATACGTGTACATCACTTGAGAAAATATGAAAGATGGATATAAAGGTTTCCTTATAAATATTCAAAAATCAGCGAGACTTCTACCCAGCACTCTCACTCCGTGCGATTTACCACCCTGAGCAACTACAGGCCATTCTGTTTGATTTGTCTGTCGGCATTTAATTTAAATACGCATACAAAGACGTTGATGCCGTGATAATAATAGAGTATGGCGGCCATATAGACTACTTCAAGACTACTTCTTGGTAAGTCTGCGTGTGGTAAAACGGGCAATAAGGAGTGCCTAACGTGTCTTTGGTGCAAATGATAGAAAATAAGAATTTCCACAAAATTTGATATGTTGGAAGTCTCTAGCAAGTACAATATACGGTAGGAACGTAATTCTGTCCACCTAATACAGGGTTACCACTAAATATGGAATATTCTTTTTTGGCGAGTAAATTTTCTACAAAATATTTAATTTCTCTCTAACTACTTTAAATCCAAAGCTGAGGTGTTACTCCATGCGTAGCCAGGTGTGTTACCTAATTACCACACAACTCTCGAAACAATTGGTGCATGCAGTTGCATGTTCTGTGGTCAGAAATGTGAGGGGTGGTCTTTTCGGCAATTTCTGCCATTGTATAAAAACCCATGGGTTTGGTCAATCTTTGAGGTGTGTTTAGAGAAGCAACAAAGGGATCGCTCTGAAACTTGACAGGTACCTTAATGAAGATATGGTTCGACAGCTAAGCAACGCAGCTTACTACGGGATTCTTGCTCTCAGAGAAAATGGCCAGAAACGGACAGCCATTGCCAGGTAATTCAACATTTATCAGGAACCGTTTGTGATGTCCTCCAAAGAAATGCTGCAACAGGGACACCTACTCCAATACCTCGACCAGGGTATCCGCGTATCACACCAAGAAGACAGGATCACCATCTCCTTAGAGGACGCCGTGCTGGTCGTACAAAGACAACCAGTGTCCTCAGAAAAGAGAGGCAGAATGTCTTTCAAACGCCCGTTTCAAGGTCCCACGTGAACAAGATATTTCTGCAAGCCGGTTATTTTGCACGAAGGCCAGTAGAGAAACCACTGTTAACAGCAGGTCATATACAGCAACGTCTGCAATGGGCTGGGGACCACGTGCTTTTGCAGGCAAAACACTGGAATCACGGCGTTTTCAGTGATGAGGCCAGATATGGATTTTTTAGGGTTGATCATCGAATCCGTGTCCACGGACGTGTACGAGGGGCATAAAACAATGATTGTGTACTGCCTAGGGTGCAAGCAGGGGATGGTAACGTCTCTGTTTCGGGAGCATTTCATGTCGGTGCCCAGAACCAGTTGGTTTTTCTAGGAGGCAACCTCATCCAGGATTCCTACAGAGACATTATACAGCAAACAATGCTTCGATTGGTAAGAGTCATCTGCAGGAACAACTTTGTGTACCGAGACGACTGCGCAACCCCACATCGAGGCCGCAGAATCACTGTTTTTCTTCAAAACCAATGTGTTCAGCAACTGCCCTGGCCTGCAAACTCACCAGATATGAACCCAATTGCAAATCTGTGGGCGGATGTAACTCACAGAATTAATAGCTAGGGTCCTCGGCCGGTAAATAGTGATAAACTGCGATAGGCAAATATCACTGTGTGGAATGAAATCCCCACCAAAACTCTAAAAAACGTGTCACAGGGTATGCCATGTGGGATGAGGGCGCTGCAAGCGGCTGCTGGAGGTCATACCCGCAATTACTGACTTTTCATGATTTACTGTAGTGAGTTCTTTGTCTGTGTAACATATAACTGTCCGGAGGCTATCATTTTCTTTAATATCTTATCTTAAAGTTTATACTGACATCAAACTGTTGATATGGTTTTCTGGGGGTGTTCCTTTCTTTTGAATGGCATCTTATGTCAGATTTGATATTATTGACCAAAATATCTCACAACAGAAGACTGGATGTTATTATCACTCAGTGCCATACTTTTTTAATGATTCAAGCCAAAAAAATTTCAATCAGCACTCAAAAATAACAATGATCAAAAATATTCCATATTAAGTAGCAACCCTGTAATTGACTTTTGTGCTCAGCTGTTTGTATAATTCCTTTGAAAATGTACATTTTTAAATATCCTTTCTACTTTTGTATCTCTTTTAAAATAATAGCAAATATTTTGGTATTATAATTGCAACAATCAACTTGTAGCTGAAAATTACCGAAATGTTACGTTTGCGTTATCATTTGTCTGTGGAGAGCATTACGCAAAGCGCAATGGGTTTTGATAAAATGTTCAGTTATGTCACTAATGTCCCGAAGAAGATATTATCAAGTTTTAATTAATGAATAAATCAACAAATCAGTCAATTAATCAATTAACTGTATAAATGTTCCTGAAATTTACCTGATAGATCACAAATGAGCCAAGGAAGAATAATTATGATTTGATGACGATGTATAAATTAAATAAATATATAATTAACTATAAAATTTTCAGGATAGCTAGGTGACAAATGGGTCAATATCTTAAAATGTTCAGGATAGGGAAGAAATGGACAAAAGAAGAAATGATTAGATTTTGCTGATGATCCAACAATTGATTAATTAACTAATTGATTTAAATGTAAATAAAAAAATAGGATAAGGAAAAAATGATAAGATTTTGACGATAATTAATCAATTTAGTTATGGTTGATTATTACTTAATCATTTGTACTCTTATCATAGTTATTATTATTAATACTCCTGACAGGTGCGCCTCTATGCAGGGGCTGCGCGCGGGATGTGGCGAAAGGTAAACCCGCACACCAAAGCTCCACCTACATGTACGAAGGGTCCTACAACGCCAGTCTCGCTGTGGACGGTAACTATGACGACAACTGGCAACAAGGCAGCTGTTCCCATACAGAGGATGGCCAGGGGAATTGGTGGCTGGTGGATTTAGAATCCACGGCAATACTGGCTGGTGTCGTACTAACAAACAGAGGCGAATGCTGTAGTAAGCGTTCTTCTCCTCTTATTTATTTATTTATTTGGGTGTGTGTGTGGGGGGGGGTTCACTTTAAATTAATAAAACATTAGGATATTCTCTTCCGTTCTTCTATTGATGCATGAAGTTTCATAAATACTAGTAAATTTTATCTTTGATTATTGTGGTATCCATGCTTCGTTAATGTACATGCATGTAACAATGTAAAATTAACTAAGAGCGTGAAGCAAAAATAAACTGAGAAAAGTGAATAGTTCAGAAAGATATAGGAGGTAATTTACATGTAACAACGTTCTCAAATATAGAGATGTTTTCATTTATCCTTCCATTTATGTACTACATGCAATTTGCATAACCGGTTTATTATTTGTCTAATATGCCGCTGCATGGCATCTAAGTACTATCACAGCATTTGCCAATTAAGTTGGGGATCGTGTCACGTGTCATTTTCAGGTGAGCGTCTGGTTAATTTCGAAGTGAGAGTTGGATACTCTTTTGTGGGTACTTCATCATTCACCCAGTACAGACTCTGCGCCAGTTACCCGGGGGTGGCACCTGTTGGGAACACGTCTCTGTCCTGTAGGTCTCCACTAAGAGGACGATATGTCTTGATCATTAAAGTTGGCAGTGACGACCTGCCCTTGCAGTTATGTGAAGTGGAGGTTCACGGTATATGATAGCTTATAAATCTTTCTCAATACAGGCGGATCCCAAGTTAAAAATTGTGCTCCCAGATTTTGTTCGTACATCATTTGCACTTGGGTCCATGTAGTTTTTAAAATTTCATCAAAACCAATCCATAACAATTTGCTTAATGCTGCTTTCGGACAAACCAATTGAGATACAAACTTTCTAACTTTAGGAACCAAAAACATAACCTTTTTGACAGTGGTAAAGAATTAGGCCACAAAAGCCGACAAAATGCTTCCATACAGTTTCAAAAAGTATAAACTGGAGAAAAAAACAAAGGGCATCGTTTAATTTTATTATTATTATTATTATTATTATTATTATTATTTCGTCCTCCATAAACTACAATGATGTACACAATGAAGGTTAATAATAATAATAATAATAATAATAATAATAATAATAATAATAATAATTTCAGGTTTTCCAAGCACAACCACGTTCCAGCTGGTAGGAGCAGGTGCTCGAGCATCCCTCTCACCCATATCTACGCTGAATGTCCGCAGTCTTACTGAATGCAGCATCTCCTGTATGCAGCACTGGGAGTGTGCGGCTATAAACGTTCTCTGTACCGGAAATGGCCAATGTACCTGCGAACTACTGCCCAGTACTGCCCAATCCGGCGACTTGCAGGCAGGTGCTGGTTATGACTATTATGAAGATAACTGCTTTGGTGCAGTGTAGACTGAGAGAGTCTTTTGAACAAGGCGGAATCACTTTTTGGGTGAGATCAAAATGCTTTATTAAATGTACATTTTTCATTCTGCTAGTAAGTGTGTTGATGATCATAATGCTATACGTGAAACCCAGGTGTTATGTATTCACTTCCATTCCCTAAGACTGTTTATTGAACTAATATATAATGCGCGTACTTTCGCCAACAATATCTTGTTCTTATGCTAAATGTACTGTACCTTAATTATCAACTGTTTTAACAATTTAAAAATTAGCTTTATGCTGGTTAATTTGAATTACTTCCACTCGTATTTGCATTATTCTGGGATAAACGAACGCTTGGAAAACAAATGAATATCAGAATGTGAAAATAATGGGCATATTTTTAACATAATGTATAAAATTAAAAATAAAATCTTAAGCAGAATTGATTTGTATTTGACTCCAATCAGAAGTGAAACCAAGCATTGCATCGATCCTCATTAAATAAAAGTCTTGCTGATATACCCTATACAATGGGTATTGATTTTCCTGGTAAAATCGTTTTTCCTCTCATTTTTCCTGAGGTATTACCAACTCCAAATACGTTCAAACAATCAAAATCTACATAGCCGCTTTTCAGATCATGTACTTTATTTTTGAGTAACTCCTTTATCTGACAGCTATATAGCCTGCTGAATTTCAGTCGTGGCGGTTAAATTACAAATTCGCCACTTAAAAACTGGATAAGAGATTGCTCTTATTTGAATGGTTTTTATTAGGGTTCATGCGTATTTGGCGATAACGAGAATTTTGCAGAAAGCCTCAGTGAGAAAAGTACAATATATTAAGTTCTAACGCATACTGTGTGCTTTTAACGAGCAAGAATAAGACATCGCGATATTTATCTTAAATATTCAAATTTCAAAGTTAAAGCAGAACACGCAATGGCCGGATGCTGTTGTAAAACACAATTTTGTGAAAGAAAAGTAATATTTCCTGGAAAAAATTATGTTGTACAATACAGCCCAATAAAACAAGGTTAAAACAAGGCAAACACTGATGTACTGAATCGATATCCTTGGCAAAATAAGTTGACGGTTAAGAATTGAACTCATAAATAATGTATCTCTCACTTTAAGGCTCAAATTTAATAACATCTGCGTAAACAAAACACATACTTTTTGGAATTCATACTCAATACAGAATGTGCATGATACCGAATTAAAAGCAATCGACAAGAACGATCATAAGAATGGCATTATAAGCCATAGAAGGAAAAACCCACGGGAACGAAACACATGCCAGTTCAAATATCAACATTAAAAAACACGTGCATGCAAAGATGTTCTGTTTACGCTTCATCGCAAACAAATTGAACTGTTTGCCAATCGGGTTCATTCTGTTGCGAGAACATAAACGCAGTCCAATTTTCGCCTGATTTGAATGGCGGTGGTATCAGAACTTGCAAGTGTGGTACTAAAATAGAATGTGTCCGCGGATACTTTTTTTTCCCTTAATTTACAGACTATTGGACAAATGTACATACATTGTATTAACCACATTTGGCCGTCACTTAACTTTGTTTTGCTTTCTAAGAAGATATTCCCGGCACTTATGATTCAAACATTATCGCTGAAAGGTTGAAATATAACAGCACGCGAGCTCTGACACGTCTTTTCTTCTCGTATGATATATTACCACAGTTACGTGTAAGTTATCTCGGAAGACCGCCATTATCACGTATCATACATCTGAAAAACACCTAACCAACATAAAAAATTAATAATAATAAAACAGCAATAATAATAGTTATTATTATTATTATTATTATTATTATTATTACTGTTTAGAAATAGGATACTTAGTAATATATGTATTTCCAAGGAAAAACATCACCCTGCCCTGAATATCAAAGAGTTCATTGCAAGTACAAAGTTTTATCCAGTTTTCATGATGATTTCACAATCTGCCATGAGATGGGGATGTATTCAGAAAACGTTTAAGGATTACGAAAGAAAATGTTTTAGAAAGAGGTGTTTGCAGACACTGTTGACTGACTGATTTGTGATACATTTTGAACGAAGGGAGATTATCCGAAAGATCAAGGGACCCACTTTTATCTTTACCTTTGGAAAGAAGTTTCGACAGCATTTGAACGCATTCACACAGTCTGACAGAAGCATTTTCAGTGTCAGGCAATACAGTAGGTCTAACGTCCTTTTTACGGCTATTCATTTATAAAATCGTGAAACCATATGGTAGTAACAGTACAGTATAACCCCTTACAGGGCGTGAACATGTATCTTACCAGACAAAAGTTCATGAGGGTAAATATACATCACATACTTCAACAGTGATAAAATGCCACACCTGAACTCTCAACTGTGATAGCTGGGACATAAATGTTCGAAGTGCCATTCTCGGTGGTTAAGGAGAATATTGGCACTGGGATACAACCGAAGCTTCTTCGGTTCCGTGGTAACTCCACTGACTTGCATTGGTCACGGGCATGCGTGTCCCAGTATTCGTGTAGCTATTCACTAGATGTGCACGTTTTTCTCTCTCATCCAAATATCTTCGAAATAAGTTGTAACTAAGATAGAGTACAGATTGTATGGACAGGACATTCGACAACAATTAACACGGTATAGAACCGATCAAAAATGAGGTGGGAGGGACACACACATATTTAGAGTATAATAATCAAGAGATAATAAATGTGTGTAAAGGACGCAATTATAAACAATAATTATGTAGTTAAAATTTTTAACAACTTATTATTAAATTTACTAACTCACATTTTGAACACCTCACATAACCCCTCTCTGCTGACCATCTTGAAGAATTAACCTCTTGCTCATATTCGATTTGGTTTCCTATCTTGCCCCGTTTAGTGGCTTAAGTATAGGTATAGCAATAATACTTATGATAGAAAAATTATTTTAGTCGAATTTTAAGATACCTTCTTGTCATGACCATATGAGTCTTCAAAATGCACGGGGGGGGGGGGGGGGTTCACCGACAGTGTATCAATAAGTACGTAAAGTTAAGCATCACGGAGAATGTACAACAATTGCAGTGCATCGTTCGGCGCCCTTAGCAGTTGTAGGCTTAAATTGCACATGTTGAGGCCATGCATACAAATGAGAATTTCATGCTAGTTACACTATACGTAATCGCGTTGACGTAATTTGTTACTTTCATGGTCGACAAGAAGAATATGATATGCCACTTACATCTCACTTCTTGAACTATATATACGGATTGGATTGTTTTCGCTTATGACGACTGCGCATTTCTTCCTTTTATTTATCTGAAGTGACCCCTGTGTGAACCTGTAAGTCCAACTATCTAGGGTCAGAGCATAAAAAATAGTTTAACTTCTCATAATGCTTGGCAACACGATAGGAAACTATGTCTTTTTTATAGATCCGACCCTTGTTCACCAGCTGACATGAATAAACTTAATGTCTTAATAGCCCAAAGTAGACGAGTGAACTGCAAAAAATTGCAGCTACGTGTATCATCAGCCTGACCCATTCGGACTATCACGTATGTAAGGAGGTAACTGCACAACTGTGATGAATTGGCCACGGCGTACGTTGTTTACGTTTTTATTCACCGCTTTATTAATCCTCATGTGTTTCATAAGTTACTTGAATATTCTGCAAAGGGGCAGAACTGTGGGCCCATATAGGTCGGAGACATTTCAAGGCTCACGGGACCCTGGTGTTGCCGAGACAAAGCAGCAGGATGGTCATGGTCACTGTCTATCAGGTAATTTAATTAGGTACTCGTAAAATGTAAAAAAAAAAAGGCATTGGGTTTTAGGTATTTATAAATTTGATCAAAATGATCAGAATGACTTAATAAACAATGTTTGTACATGTATGATGGTGTGTTGGCTATAGTAAACTTTATTCATACACATTCCATTTCATTTTTTTATGTATTTAGCCGCAATTTATGTATTTAGTTACTTTTGAGATATACACCCATTACAACCTTAATCTAACAGCCTCAAATGTTACTCTATTAACAGACAATCCTTGGGAGAATCTACCGAGTTTTGTCATATTCGTACGAATGTTCCACAAAACGAGGGACTTATATGACAATATCTTAATGCAAAGCATGCGTCTATTCTGGCCGAATGACACCAAGGTGGTCATCGTTCTGGACAACGAATCTGTTCTGGACCACAAGCTTGGCAGTGAATTAAGGCTCACAAGTCCTAATCTGGAAGTACATTATGAAGATCCTAACCCACATGCATATAATTCCATAGGCCACAATCGCCAGCAGTGGTCGATGTTCTATCCTGAGAACTATACTCAGTCAGAGTATGTTGGTTTTGTTGACACCGACACATTATTCGTAACTATGGTTACCCCTGAAGATCTTTTCATTGGCGGGAAACCTATTGTATTTGCAATTGTTGGACAATTTAATGATGATTACTGGCCCGCTGCAGCCGAAAAGACACAGTTTCTTTTTGGTGAGCCGGAAGTACTTCGATGTATGGCCTACTTCCCCGTGATTATTAAAGTAAGCCATATTATTGAATTGAGACGTTTTCTTGAAAATAAACACAACATGTCGTTTAGCGAAGTATTTGCAAGTATTTCGAAATCATACCTGGGTGTGGCGCAGTTCAATATGATGTGTCAATACATATATACTTTCCACAGGGATGACTACGAATTCCGCATCCAGATGTATCCAAACGATAAATGGAAGGGTAAGAGCTCTGGACGAGTGCCCATAGAATATTATCGTGAGAATTTTTCGGAGAAAGAACATCAGCCTGTAGCCAGAACCTCGATTCACTGGAAGTACCACAGGCCCAGGTCTTCTGAGTTACTCTTTACCCCCTACGACAAGCATGTCTACGCTCCTCAAGCTATGATGGAGGGTTTATGTTTCTCAGGAGGTTTCCATATTTGTCCAAAACAGTGCAAGTATTTTAACAGGAATGCCCTTCACAGAAATCTATTCAATTTTGAAACGGTGGAATGGACGTGGGACCCACGCTGCATGCAGGCACAGAAGGAACATTATGCCGCCGTCCACCGTTTGCTGAAATACTACAGAGTTACCAGGATGCCTATATTTGGCGCCGAATCACCACTGAGTGTCTGTAAGCGTGTCTCAAAGATGATGAAAATTAATGAAAAAATTATTTGCAAAGTTTCTGGCAATTCGAAGCTTTTACCTGTCAACATATACATCTGCAGGTAATATAGGTTAACATGTTTTACCCTCTTAAATATAGTTAATTATTATTATTATTTTACCATGATAATACCAAGCTGCAATATACAGTATGGTATATATATGCCGGTCCATTTGATTTCTGGGGGTTGCCTGGCATTTTCTAACAGTTTTGAGACCTTGACTGAAGATTTTAATTTTTTGGGAGCCAAAACTAAGAAAAGTCATGAAATTTTCAGCATTAATTAAAAACATTATTTTCCAAAATATCACTGCAATATCCTTAAATCTGTTGATTTCTTTTTCATTTATCCAACATATATGACAAGTTTCTATACTGTACGTGGTGATCCTAATTTACAATTTTCTTTATGTTAAAAATCTGCCAATAGTAAAGATATATAGTCATGTTGCGTTCGCATTTTAACATGATTTATACATGCTGAAGAGACGATGCATTCAATGCAGGATTTGTACCTGCATTCCCTTTTGGAAAATAAAAGGTTAGGATTCACCAATCCGTAAACGTTTCTTTTAAGGTATGTTTGAAACTGCTGTAGATCTTAAGACGTAACCTTCCTCGTGCAATCACATGAGGCAGAATCTGACAATGCTTCTCTCTAAATTGTACAACCACGTTCAGAGCGAGGAAATAGTATCTGGCAGAGCCGTAGGTTCGCCGATTCGTGTGACGCCAACATAATCGCAGAAAAAATCAGCCTCAGCCTGGAACTGGGGCGTCCATTTAATATGATATTTATCCCCCTGTTCGTCAGCAGCAGTCCTTGTTTTATACATGCCCCTTTGTGCATCTTTGCTTAGGGCCTTACAGGCGGTCCCAGCATATTCCATGGGTAATCCACAGTATGCCAATAAACTCTCGCATGCGTGGCGGGGATTCTCGAGTATGTCCTCGTACTTAAAGGCCTTTACCGCCATACCGGAGGCTTTGAAACGCTTGTACGCTCCGCACAAGCACGACCAGTGTCCCACAAGGATTCCAACGACTGATGACCGAAGCATCAATTCCTTGTCATTTATCTCTGGGTAGGTTTCGATGTCAATGAACCAGTTCCACAAATGCCGACTCTGCTTTGGGACTATGCAATGAGCAAGGCGACTTGTAAGCATGCTATGCCAAAATGTGAAAGTTGGTGCGTTTCCGAAGGCGTGGTAAAAGGACTGGATGGTCGCCTTCCCGTCCCTGTACAGAAATAAATGCTTGATGCCGGGTGCGATGTTTGCCACTTTATCGGCATGTAAAAAACACATAGATCTGGTTTTAATACAAATAAGACGTGGGTTGCTCGATAAGGGTTTACACGTGACTCGTGTCACGCTCTGTACGTATCTGTCGACTTTCTCGTGATGTACCGTTTTTATCACATTTTGAAGACAAGTGAAACCATCTGGTTCGCTCATTGCTAAGACACCAGGCACTGACTCAAGAATTTGTGTGACTGCCGTAGAACCGCATCGGCCTGTATTTGAAAGCAGAAGAACATCAGTTTTTGGATCACCGATTTCGTCTGCAATTTTGTGAAACGATGCCATTGGCAATACTATTAAACGGATAGCATATTTATATTGTGCCATATATACAAAGGGATTGGTATCCGAATTGTAAATATCAACGTTGGGTGGGGTCTCGACAAAAAGAGCCTCGTTTTCATCAAGGTAAATCAGAGAAACGACGTCTGCTAGAATACACCGTGGATGTTCGAAGCGATTGTGGGTAGCAATGAATCTGCATTTCTCCGTTGGCGGAATGACGTCCCATTTGTATCTCCAGTGAATATCTAAAATATGTGCGGATTGTTCGTACAACTCTCCGGCCCGGGTTAGTTTCAGAGTGTTGGTAATGCCATTGTATCTCCACCATAAGTTCTGTAGGGAGTGGACAAAGAACCGACTCACACTAAAGGCAAACCAGACGATGAGTTCCATGTTTTCCGAAAATAAGAAGCGCTGAGCACGTTCTCTTATGCTGGAGACCTAAAAGAAAGATAAACGATTATACCATATTATGTTGCATTTATACTTGTGTTGGCATCATGGAATAGATGTGACGTCATGGGCAGCTTTTTGACCCTACTGCCCGGCAATAAGTGCCCAGTGGCACGAAATAGCATGCAACACTGCGTGAAACATTGAGTTAGGATGCATCCATTATTTCCTGGCGCAGTCAACGACTTAACTGTTCCAATAATATCACTAGAAGAACTCATTGTGTATATACACATCCTGACATTAGTGCTCAAATGACAACTTCACGTCACTTAAAATAGTGAAATTACCAGTCATAAATATTCGATTTTGTCCACAGAGTCGCTGTTGTGCATGAACAGTGCATCTCATCGTCTGCTCCCGAGCCCTTTAGCTACAGGGAGCCCGTCCAAAATTAGATTCAAACAGGTTAGGGTTAGCGTGACGTAAGTGAATAAATCTTAAGACCGGGCTTACCTTAACAACTCAAAGGGCACCAAAGTTTGAACATGTAGCACAGGACAGTCTATTTGCATGACAACAACCAATGCACTAGTACATGTGAGCCGCAAATGTCACTCGCGCAACCCGGCCCGTTATGATCAAGGTTATGTAGTACACGTAATCGACTCCCATGTCATACGATATTCAGTTTTATAAGGTTAATACAGATCCACTGGCACAGTCAAGGCATTCTTGTATAGTCACTTATAAGTTACCAGTACATATTCATGTGTATTCGCACTTATTTGATGAAATATGCTACCGCTACAACCCGACTTTGATGCATTTATACATGCGTACAATTATACGGGTTATACGCGCACTGAGTAACAGCTAGTCTTGCTTAAATCGAAGCTATATATTTTAAACCACAATGATTGTGACAGAAGGAAATCTGGATCGTCTTACCTGCCAGATAAAGTGGCTGGAGACTTATTCCTCTTCTGTCGTGATTGTCCCCTTTCAGCGATATTTCTCCGCAGCAACCTTGTTGAATGAGCAAGTAGGTAACACATTTGCAGGCGACGCACATTCGCTGAGCTGTGGTGGAATAAGGTGACGTGGATGTGCAGCAAGATTATATTGACCTACGTACACATAAACCTCTGAAGAAATGACTGTTGGGTCATGTTGAAATTGGGACATGTTAATCATGCATCACTCCTTATCATCCAACATGAATACGGTATATATTAGTACGGACCATGCACGAAGCTTATACGCCAGAGAACTGGCATTTCTTCTAGGCGGTATATAATATATATATATACACTGATTTGTTGAAAATGTACCACCGTACCAGAGGAGATAGTGGACAAATGTAGGTACACTACTATCAATGACTAAGTATTCTCGCCATATAGTTAAGTCATATGTACACCTACTGTGCTCTTGGGTTGTGTTTAAATGAAATGCTACTTTGCTATAAAGCCAATGCGCTATGAACACAAGGCCGTTAAAATTAAGTATTAAATGTGTGGTGAAAACGAGCTGAAAACCATACATTTTAGATAAAACCTCATGGTATGTTATTTTAGGAGAGCTTAGCCCAGATTAGACATACCAGTTACCATAAGCTACATGTATGCTGTGCGGTTTGAATCCGTACATTTAGCAAAGGGCAAATGTCACTTCAGTCTAAGACATTTCCACTTCTAACTAAGTACACATCCATCCCCTATTCCTTTGACACTTGTTTATTTATTTGCTCATGAGATCGATGAATCACTTACTGTTTTTTTCCATTGGTGAAACGTGCTTTTGAAACTAAACATTGACCATATTTAGAAGTGTTTTTTACTCCCGGTAGAACACCCTTGTAATTGTCACTGATGTGACATTCTTGAATATACTTGTTTTTTTCATCTTATTTAATTATCGATAATCCGCAGAAGTTTTTTTATAAATGTTGTCTAAAACTGCTGCGAAAATAACCGTTCCTGTCTTTAGCATCTAATAAATGATATCCATTGTTTGTGAGACTGGGGAAATAAGTTTCTGGTCATGTGGTCATGTCTAAAACTGCTGCGAAAATAACCGTTCCTGTCTTTAGCATCTAATAAATGATATCCATTGTTTGTGAGACTGGGGAAATAAGTTTCTGGTCATGTGGAAGCGTGGCATTCATATCAAGGTCCTAAGGCCTCCCACCAAAGCTTCAGTAGGTGTATTTATGCATTTGCCACAGTTCTTATTCTGATCCTCCTTGGTTTGGTTTCCAAGTGCCTTCAATAATGGCTCTAACAGGTGACTTCCGATATCTTGGTCCAGGGAGAACTGAAGCAGAAACAAATTGAAAGGGATAACAACTCTTCGTATGAGATCTATATTTCACAATAAAATAATTGTAAACAACTCATAGAAATATAATATATTCTATTTTACCACAAAAAATGGCAGTTAAAGCAATTATTCTGAAATCTGTGCTTGTCTTCGGACCATGTGACCTCCATAGATGGCTATACTCTGTAATAATCTCTTTACAGATTATTAAAAAACAAACAAACAAACTTTCTAGAAAAAAACAGGGACTAACTTTGAATGTAGATATGGATTCATTAACCATTGGTAAGTATGGGAAAAATGTTGTTTTGAATATATTTGGAATATGTTTTTATATTTTGGAATATGAAAAAGGTAAACAATGTGCTAAATAATCGGTACATGGATGCTACCACGGCAGTTGTGTATGGAGAAGCATGTGAAAGACTAATTCAATATTTATGATAATTCCGTCGGCTTGTGCAAGCCTACTTAAGCGAAAAATAAATCCTGAATACCAAAAGGACTTTGGTAAAGACATATTAAAGACTCAGAATGCTTCCGAAAAGAGAAATAATCGTTTGTATGTATGCTAAGCCTATGTGGCAATAATACCAATGGAGAGCCTTTATGGCCGAAAGCGCTCAGTACTGAACGGAATTATACCAATGGTTAATTATCAAATTATTTTTACATGACATAATTTATTTTTATATCTGTATGTCAGGACACAAGAGTGTGTGTGTGTGTGTGTGTGTGTGTGTGTGTGTACGTATGTTTGTATTTGTGATTCACACAGGCATGTAAAACCAACAACGTTTAGTAAGAATTAACCAAAATCAATTTTACTATGTATACAGTACGCTCGCACGCAAAAACGCACTTACATTTTCGTGCATAAATACACGTTTACCCACGAAACCAAATTAACACACAAACATGCACTTGTATCTATACCTTCTCAAATGCATCCCAGACAGTACTAAAAGGGTAACAGCTTTTCCAGTGAAATGATGAGTTGATACCATGGAGTACGTACACTTTCCTTGGCGTACAGTACGCCTCACTTAGACAGTACGCAAGCCAGTAGTGCCAATCACATGTGGTCAGCATTTTCACCATCTCTGGCAATGTTGACAAGCAAATGTATACGTTAATTTTTAAAACATGAAAATCAAATAAAGGGATTATATGTGGTAACATTCTGTGCACTTCATGCACCTATTCAAAAATACTTTTTGATACAATTTCATACTTTAACTTCGCTGCAGGAGTCTAAATGTTGTCAGTTACTGGTACATACGACGTTTCGAACACATGGTTGTTGGCAATGAAACCACTCGTTCTCCATACACATTCTTTGATAATGGAATTTAAACTCAATAGAACAAAGATGATTATAAAGGTAAGGCAGATTTTTTCATCCTCCTTCATTTTCCTTCTGGAGTGTGTACAGTAATTGAAATCCTGTCACCTTAGACCCGTTAGCTAAGCAGCTGTCGAAGTGAATCAGTCGCAATCGAGCATTTTGAAACAATTAGATTAATAATTGAGCATACCTGGTTTCGCCCCAAAAGCAGCGTTCAGAATATCTTGATCGTGCAGATAGAATTCCGTGTTATATTTTACAAAGGCGTCTCTCCATAATTGTTGAAAACGCGTCCTCCTCATCCTTGTCAGGTTCATCCACATTAATCCCGACTGTAATCCTGAAAAAAAAATAATTCACAGCATCACGTGCACAAATGATGACCAATAGGTGATATCACGGACGGATCCAGGATTATTTTGAAGGGGGGGTTAAGGAATAACAGGCCGCACCCCCCCCCCCCCCTCGGCGTGGGGTTAGGGGCCCACTGAAGGGGAATTTTTTGGTGTTTTAGTGGGCGAACGGTGCCATTTGGTAGGAATTAGAACTAGTCAAAATTTTAATCTCAAGAGGGGACGATTGGTGTGATTTTTTTTTAATCGAAGGGAGGTCAGGACCTCCTTGACCCCCCCAAATTCGCCACTGTACTTGCACAGGAATGTGAAACGTCAACAGAACAATTCTGAAGTTTCACCTCGATTTACAATCGTTGTTACTCACTATTATAATGAGTTAGTTTACGTACCAATTATTTTCTTTATTGACATACATTGAGCGTTTGCTTTGCAACAAGCTCTTACATCATATTGAAGATCTCATCTAACGGTTCAAGCACCAGCGTTTCTTTGCCAATTGCTTAATATGTAAGACATGTGCCTTAAATACTTTAAAATCAAATTCTGACAAGGATTTGTCATGGCGCTATATTTTTCGAAGTACCAGTTTTTTTTAAATCAACTGAAATCACTCACCGACGGGCGGATAAAACGGCATTCGTATGTAACGATTTTTATTGTACCACGGATTCAATCTATCATGTGGGCCGTTCTGTGACATCGTCGTCACGTGATTTTTGTTCATTTCCGCAAAACCCTTGTCATGGAGTGTTCTGATATCGTGAAGAAAGATCATATCAGTATCGACATGAATCACGTGGTCTATATGACGAAGACTCTCCTGCAAATACACTCATGTTTAGCTTTGTAAATTAATTTTACGGACATATAATATATTATATGCGTTTATTTATTTATTATTTTTTGTCAAGCAATAGGTAATGTTTATCTGTAAAATAATATACTGTCACCCGAGCGGTATACCTGTACACGGTATTCCAGAACATTCTATCTCATTAAAAATGAATAGAAAACTAATCTTGACTCACCGGATAAAATAATCGCTGCATTGCACATGGTAAAGACCTCATCTCTTTTTCGTTTATGAAGGAAAAGGATTTTTCCTCTTCACTGATATTGTACAAATATAATCTGATTTTACGGCGGTATTTGACAGGTAACTGTTCCCTCTGAAATCGTGTTGAAAATACTTTTGTCATCTTTATATAATACTTCACTATCTAAAGATACAGAATATTTTCTTTTTTGTTTTGAATTTAGCCATTTTAAAATCACAACAAAAGAAACGGTTGAAATGTTGTAGATATATCAAACATTAGACATAACCATATACTACACGTATTACAACAGACTTCCATTTTAATTCTTACGACAGACTTCTATTTTAATTCTTAATTCAAATATTTTATTTCTAAATTAAAGTTTATTAAAGTTGCGAAAGATATTCAAATACGGTTAAAAGACGTTGATTGAAAAAGAGGACGCATGGCTGTTATCTGGAATAAAATTGCAGGTAGTTACATTACCCATTTCTCAAAGGTTTCTCTTCTGTCTGTAAAAACATGGAATTTAAGCACGTCACCATCAGGAGTAAAAAGCACCGCACTTTTTAATGTGTTGATGGAGCTTGCAGTGTAGGAGCTACCGCAAGCGGCGAGAGCGAAATGCAGTTCTGTGTCATGTTGAGGTTGTCCAGAAATAGTGACCAGGAAGTTTCTGTTTTTTATCAACAATAAAACGACTGTGATGATACCCAAACAAAAAAGTCCACGTGAAGCTGGTTTAAATATGAGATTCAAGTTCATTATCTTCTGAGTAGGGAAGATCATGTTTCAAACGGCAAGGTGCACCAAACAGTCTAAAAAAAGAAATTAAAACAGTTTGAATAAACGTCGATTTAAATGATATGTTAGATTAAATCAAATAGATGCCTTATGCACTATTTATAAGTTGTCGTTTATCTAGGTGAACGGATTATTATTCGGTGATAGTATATCCTTACAAAAATTATATACTTTACTGCATATTTTATTATATACTTACTCGAAGCCACATGCCGTGAACCATGCAAATATATACTGACAGTCAATGAAAACGCATCATTTATTATCAAGCAATATTTTAAGTTCCTTTGGCACATTAAAAAAATAACAGTTTTCGTGTTTTGGTTCCGCCCAGCCCCCAGCATCCCCAGGGACCGCAATCGCTCTTCCAGTATCAGACGTGGCACCACTGAACTTTTTTGTCATGTGTCATACTGGATTTGGTGACTACCTTAAATAAGCTTAATTTTAATTAAGCCTTTTTATGGTAGTCACCAAATAAAATCACCATATATTGAACCTGATTAATTCACACCAATCACGAGAAAGGAAAAACACATGATTTTGTAACAGCTGATCACAAAACCACTGAAGCGGAAATTTTAAACATCCGAGTGGTCAGCCCACTCTCTTATGACCAAACAAGTGCATTTGTACTCGTTAACATGGTTGGAATCGATTCTCGTTAAAAAAGTACAAGAAAGTTTTTTGATGCGTTTTCATTGACTGTCAGTATACGTTTCACTTAATTAACAATTTGACTGTTATTACTTTTCATTACGACGTTATCAAAGGGTTCTGCCATAAATCCCTCATACTTGCCCGCCCCCTACACACTCCTATTGTCTTAGGTAAGGAAGGTAAAGGATTATTTGAAGGGGGGGGGGGGGCACGGATGCGAAGCCGAGTCCCTCCGCCCCCCCCCCCCCCCCCCCCCCCTCAACAAGCTCTTTGAATTAGCCATTCCAGGCNGGGGGGGGACCGGGGCCCCCCCCCCCCCCCCCCCCCCCCCCCCCCTTAACAGAAATGATGGTGCTATCCTACCTGACCTCTACCTTCCTTTCCTAAAACAATAGGAGTGTGTGTGTGTAGGTGGTGGGGGGGGGGGGCAAGTATATCTCCTGAATAGAGGCTTTTCACCTGGATAGCCTCATTCCCTCATGAAGATGCTCTGCCAGGCATCTCAATATTAGCTGTTGACTGAAGAAAATTACTTCATTCTAACAGCAGGGTCGGATCCAGGATTATTTGAAAGGGGCCCACGGATGCGAAGACGGGTTCCATGACACATACATGTAGCCTACATTCAGATATGATACACATAGCCTACATGTATATACATGCTTCAGTCTGTGCAAGTGCATGCCCTCGTTGTAGGAAGGTTTTAAGAAGCTTCAATAAATCACTATGTTAGACCATCTTAGAAAAGAATAGGACCTACATGCTTAACCAGGTAAGACTATAAGCTAGGGTAAATTAGTATATAAGCCTACCATGCTGTTTATTGCGCTAAATTGTCTTGCATACTGCAAATGGCCACATTTTATTTGCACCCGCCGCCTCGTATTTCTGTTCGTCAATAGGCCCCTAAAGCAAACAAATTGGATTTGTGGAGGATGTGTAGGCTACACGTTAACGCTCAGTCATAAATCTCATTATTATTATCATAATAACATAAATTTATTCCTAAAATTTAATACCTTGTTGTATTACCGACTGTCCCTTGATAGTCAATAAAAAGTGGCATTCAGTATTGCGAGACCATGATGTCGTCTGCTCAGGATGCGACAGCGTCGTCGTTAGCCAACACGCTGTTATAATATTAATTATTATTGAGTAAGCCTTATATGAACACACGATTCATTTGATTCATGCGCTTTTATGATTCGGTAATGTTTCACTACATAGATGAATTCCAACGGAACTTTATATGGTATAAATGCATGGTTTTGTTGTTCGTGTGCATTCTTTTAATTGAAAGGCTACACGGTTACTCGAACGATAGCCTAGACCCCTATTCCATGTAGTAAATGTTAACTTATGTGTTATCTACATGTGACTAACATATTGTAACGTGACAGGGTAGCACCCTGATCCTTTCTGTAATTTGGTGTAGTTTTTTTCTAGTTAGCACTATTTTTACCTGAATTTCTACGATCGCACTGCCACGACAATCAGTCGGGAATCGGAGCCGCCATCTTGCAAAGTCATCTACATATTTAAGCGTAACCTCGTGACCTTAGAATGTATAACAAACAGCGGTGCAGACGGCCTGAAGACCATGGACGAAGTAGGCAATAGGTAACGCAGGTCACGGAAAAAGAAAACTCAATGGAGACGTTGCAGTTGAAGCGGAGAAACCGAAGAAAGAAGAAGGGAGACAGAAGTAGGCCTACGACAGGGCTGAAATGTGTTTTTTTTATCACTGTCTTTTGGACCGCAACTCCAGTAATGCGTTAGCGTAACTGGAAATCTCTTAATTTAGTTTCGTTATTTCTTTTTTTTTTAATTTCTTTGGTTTTGTTTGCGTATTTATTTATTTTTTTTTTCAGCGTCAGGCCATGAAGCAATTCTTGCCGGTCATGATGATCGCAAAGCATGAGGAGGTGTACATGTAGGTGGAAATTCCTGACAGCCGGGTGACAATGTATGGACACTACACGGGTTTCAGATAGCCCAATGTGGAGCCTAATGAAGCCATGCGCCGCGAAAGAAGACTGCACCCACTCTGTAGCGTTTCCGTTATTATATTTTATGTGAAATTTTGTTCAATGGTATTATTTTTGTTCTGGATTTCGAAAGAAACTGTAAACTCTGTGCGAACGTTAACATGTATTTCTGAAATGAGTAACATGAATGAATTTAACCAAGTTTAATGACTTAAACTTTGCTTGTGTGCTATTGAAATTTTTTTATCGATTTCTACCTTTATTAAAGCTGATTGTCTTTGATTGAAATCCACTCTGAAATCCACTGTTCGTGCTTGGGATATACTTACCCTGAGGAGACTCAACATCTCTCCCGTCCCGCGATTAAATTACATGTACGTGCTCACGGAACCCTCACGGAACCCTCGCGGGGAGGGCTCGCGTCACAATATCAATGAGTCGCTTTTTCTCTTAATATACGCAATTTTGCAACTTTAAGTTTTGATGGTACTGAAATGGAACGCAGTGTTTGTTAGATGATGTGAGCGGCCCAACTGCATGCCCGTAAGTGGTTCTGTTAGAGAAACACGGGCACAGCTAAAGCAATGAGCCAATCTTTCAGATTGTATAGCTGTGAGTAAAATGGGTTAGGTACCTGGAAAGATTATTCAAAGAAACAGATGGGAGGAGAACAAAAATAGCATTAGTTTCTAGGGTGATTGTGCACATTATAAAAAAAGTCCCTTTTTGAGCTGCCTTGCTATATGGAAACACAATATTAGTTCAGTAATGTTATATTTATCTTTGAATTAAGAAAAGGAACAAAGTAACCATGATAACATCATTGTGTAGTATCGGCCACATGCATAGTATTTTATGTGCGTTTGATCATTATGAGCAATTTTATATTAGTAGTTAAATAACTTCCTCAAAACGCGAGTCCCTTAAACTGAAAATTGGACCATTTTTTCATTTAGGTCTTCATGCCTTTATTAGTGATTACTACGTATTAATAAGTGTCAGAATAGTGTTATTTATTTGTCTAAAAATAAGACGCATTTAGTCATTGTTTTTCTGTTTTATTTTATTTTACTTATGTTTAATATGTATATAATATGTATATATTTTTTTATATATTTTTTTAAAATTACTTATCCACAAAACGAATAACTAAATGAATTATATTATACATACTAATCTGGTCTTTTTTATGAAATACATTATCTTGAATGTTTGTGGTACTGGGAGAAATGAACTTCTCATCAAAAACACGAAATTCATGTCAAGGTCCTCAGGCCTCCCACCAAAGCTTCAGTAGAAGTATCTATGCATTTGCCACAGAACTGACTCTGACCGTCCTGGGTTTGGTTGCCGAGTACCTCCAGTAATGGATCTAGCAGGTGACTTCGGATGTCTTGGCCCAAAGAAAACTGAAATAGCATGCATTCATATACATCAGTTATCAAAATAAATAAATAAATAAATTTATAAATTAACTAATAAAATGATGCTCATCTCCTATTAAAAGTTTCATTTTTTAACTGATAGGCCTATTTCATTGACTTGTTCAAAACTAAGCTCAAGGATCGGACTTAAAAGAAACTGCGGCGGATATTTGAAATTAATTCAGAATAATTTAAAATTGCCAGTATAGATATGTACATGAACTTATCAGCTCTCAAAGCCTTTTAAAGCATTTTTACAGAAAGCAGGTGCGTGGTTCATGTAATAGTTCTGATGTGAAGATGGGGAGGATACATCTATATTCAGTCGGCCAAAATACAAATTAATTAATTTATGACAGGTACCATCATTGTATTGAAGTGCTGTGAATTTTACAGATAGCTAGCGCTTACGTTATTTGGACACATGCAAATGCAAATGCGAATAAAAAGACATATGATTACCTTCTCTTACACACACATACAGAGAGAGAGAGAAAGGGGAGAGAGAGAGAGAGAGAGAAAGAGGGGAGAGAGACAGAGAGAGAGATAAAGAGAGAGAGATGTTTGTACACACGCACAAACGTGCACATACATGTACACACAGCACTAGTACACAAATAAATGTTAATTTACCTTCTCAAACACGCCCCAGACCGTGCTGAATGGATAACAGCTTGCCTTATGAAAAGAGTCCGCCACTCCATGGAGTACGTACACTTCCCTTGGCGTACAGTACACCTCACTTTGGCAGTACGCATACCAGTAGTGCCAATTACACGTGGTAAGCATTTTCACCAACTCTGGAAATAAATATGGTAAAGCCCGAAGGAGGCCATGATGCATTGAGCACACGGACAGAATTGTTTTAGACTACATTTTAGCACATTAGCTGTATTGGAGCTGTTTGAAATGTGTCAGTTCTGTGATGTTTGGTTTGCCCCCCGTAGACGGATCCAGTGCCTAACCCCTTCCCCCACTGACACACGATGAGACAAAACGAACGAGAATTTATTTTATTTTTGTTTTTTTTTTATTTTTTTTTAATTTTATTTATTTATTTATTTTATTATTTTATGTTGTAAAGACTAATTTCGATTTCCTCTCATCCCCCTTTTCTTGTCTAGAGTCTTCATAAATAAGTGAACGTTGCAATCCTCGAAGCACTAAAATCACAACCGGGCTATTTTAAAAAAGCATCGATAGTAGTAACAATAACATGCATGTACCTGGTTTCGTCGCAAAAAGCGCATTGAGAATATCTTGATCATACAGGTAGAGTTCTGCATTATATTTTTCATAAGATTCTCTCCACAACCGTTGAAATCCTATCCGTCTCATCCTTGTTAGGTTCATCCACATTAATCCCGCTTGTAATCCTAAAAAGATATAAATGTAACTTACAGTATTTAATACCACCATACTAGGGACTGATAAATATTAAATGATTTCATCAACAAGTGTTTTCTGAGTTAGGGTAAACGATCAACACAAATTTGACAATTTATTTTACAATTATTCAGGTCAAAAGATAGCAACTTTCTAAATTGGTAGACAAAACGGCCTTTCTTTTTTCCTTCATCACTAACAATAAAAGCCAACTTATAGTGTTTTTTTTCTTATGTTTTGGGCTTGTAATCCCATTTCTTATGTTTATGGTGAGATTTATATTTTAGAGTGGTTTGAAATATAAGATGAAATTAATGATATATTTCGTTGGGTTATCGAAGAAGTCATCATCTTAGACTAAGTATAATCTAAATTTCAGGAAAATATCAACTACCAGGTACATTAGAAATAGCCTAAACAGGCACTGTTCATTACGCGGTACACAGACGACAGACCTGTAGAAGTCAGGGAAGTTAAACTTAAGACTTTTTTACGATCAAATTTTCTGTTCACTCACCAACGGGTGGATAAAACGGCATCCGCGTGTATACGTCTTTATTATACCACGTGTTTTGTCTATCACGTGGGCCGCACTGCGACATCGTTGTTACGTGACTGTTGTTCATTTCCGCAAAGCCCTTGTCATGAAGAGTTTTGATATCGTGAAGAAAGATCATATCTGTGTCAACGTGGACTACATGATCCAAATGCTGAAGACCCTCCTGTAAGTTTACTCATGTATATAATATGGATATTAATCAAGGGTTTCCATTTTATACTTAATACTTTACTTACACTTACTACTACTAATACACTTCCTTTTAAATACTTTACTTATCTTTTATACTAAATTGTATAGGCATTATGATAAAAACGTTATTCTATTCATAACAAATAAAAAAACATTTTTCAGAAAAATTAAAAGAATAAACAATGGAACGAAATCATAGTAGGTCTTATAAGATGGCATTAAGGAAATGTAATGTTGTATTCAAACAAAATGAAATTAATGAAAATAGAACATTTAAATATAAGCATAAACAAAATAAAATCCTCCTACATGTACCGTATAGAATAATCTTTGAGTTGTACAAGGTAAAGATCTCGTCTCTTTCTCTTTGATGAAGGTCAAGGATTTTGCCTCTTCGCTGATGTGGTAGAAATATAACCTGATTCTATGACGGTATCGGGCGGGTAATTGTTCTCTCTGAAATTACAAAGTGATATACATTTACTATCTTTTGCAAGTTACGGGACTGAGGCCCAAGCATGAAAAAAATCTATATCAGTTATAAACAGATGTAGACAACATGATTAAGTCTATACGGGAATATATAAAAACAATCTCTCAGAACACAATTCCAAACATAAGTAATAATGAATAAAAATATAAAACGAAAAATGACAAATTGCAAAAATAAATAGAATATTGTAAAGTGTATCAATGACATGAGATAACACAAACATTCGGTTTGGAGTTGGTTTTAAACAAGGTGTTCTTTCACTGCTCAATAAATGAAATAAATGGACAAGCGGAAGAAAATCAAGAACATGAATAATTTACAGACCCAGCACGAAACTGACTAATTTTACTACGAAGAAATTTTAATGACTTTTTACAATGAAAGACGCATTACCCATTTCTCGAAGGTTTCTCTTCTGTCGGTAAAAACATGAAACTTCAGGACGTCACCATCAGGAGTAAAAAGCACCGCACTTTTCAAAGTGTTGATGGAGCTTGCAGTGTAGGAGCTGCCGCAAGCGGTGAGGGCGAAATGCAACTCTGCTCCTTGGTGAGGGAGAACACAAATTGCCCCCATGAAGTCTCTGGATTGTATTAACAATAAAAAGACGGCCAGGAGACCCAAGCACGAAAATCCGTATAAAACTGGTTTAAAAAGGATTTTGGTGTGCATTGTCTGTTAAAAAGGGGGAAGTGTGTCTGTAGGAAAGTTAAAATGAATGATTCTGCAAATAAAAGAAAAAGGCAAAAGTTTAGATAATATTTGCCCGAACTGTATAAGAAAATATAATAAGCTTTTAATAACAAATATAATATAGTCTTAATTAATTACTCATTTGATATAAATTATAAATTATTATTCATTAAACGTTCGTTCTAAATAGTATTACTTGCTTCTTTTAGAAGTTTTGGTAAGTAACCACCCCTCCCCCTCACCCCCGGACATTTTAATTATAAGCCTGTGACATTCAATATTTTTCCAGATTCAGCTATGTGATGACAATGATCAATTGCTCTGCTATACAAACAATTTAGTTACATTTTTTTACTGACTCAATTTCCGGTCTTTTCACACAAACTTTATATTTCAGTTTCCTTTCCCTTTTCAGTAACTCTGCATTTCCAGTTACCACAGTACAGCGCACATTTGAAACATTTACAAAATTACCCACCTTGACTATACCGCCCAGCTCTCCGTGAAGCATAAGGAGATATTACATCAATATTTTGTATTTACTGTAGCGACGTCACATTAGCTTAACATTTTGAGACCCCCCCTTTCAACAGAGACACGCTCTTGCATTATTAACACCCATAACCTCTCAATCCGTTTGTGTATTAACTTAAACACGAGGCCGCATTGAGATTAATGTGGTCATTAATACCTGCCTGTGCGTTTATTATTCCAGTTTCTATGGCGCAAATGTCTGATGGGCGTTCAGTTTTCTGGAAAGGTTATTTGTCATCCGGATTGATTTGCAGCATACCGTGCGTAGATCATCGCCGAATCTTAAACTGTCAATCTGTTCCATTCAGTACATGAAAAACTTGCAACGTGTAAATCGCATGTGAGCCGTGCTACGTGTAAAACATTTCGCCCAGTGAATCCACAATACAGCTTACATTGTTGGTGATATTTGATCAGTTGTCGTCGCTGCTGTGTTACAAAAAGGCATGCACACTCACGGTTCCCATATTTTAATAACATGTTATGTTTAAAAACACTGAAAATAAGACATGATGATAAAAAGGAGGGGACTTCTAACCACGAACAATACTGTTCAGGCATTAACCTAAACACGAATTGGGCGTCTAAGGGCAATATTATACAGCTGGGTTATATTGTACACTATTATGAAACGAGAGACTATCCCTATCTGTAAAAGATAAATAAATAAAACATCATATAACTCCCTTATTCGATTGTTTGGTCAGCTTTATTTAAAAAGATAAAAAGGGAAAGCACACACACGTCTTTTTGCCTCACTGTCCAAATGTAAGGCCAAGGCACTTGTACAATTGTGCGTAANTTAATACCAGGTTTTCTGTAGCGAAAAAAGGGTCGACAAGGGCGTCGAGGTATTTGGTGGGCTGAAGGTCGGACAGGCCACCTGACAGTTTAGCTGCCTCGTGTGAGTTGAAGTTGACAAAATGGCATCGTATGAAATGACCTTTAATAGATTTGGAAGTATTAAGCATATCTTTGCATCATTTTTTAAACATTTATGTGAAGTGTTCAAAATGTTTTAATATTCTGAGAATACAAATAAAGACACGCTGTTTGATTGATATTTGTTTTATTGATTGCTATACCAAATGAATGCATGAAATAACCTTAAATAGATTTGGTAATATGAAGTATATCAATTCATGACTTTTTTTACATTTCTACGAAGTATTCACAATGCTTTAATATTCTGAGAGCATGGAAAAAGACATATTATTGTTAGTTTGATACGTGTTTCTGTGGTTAAATTTGTGTTTCCAGCTGTGTACTGACAGCATTCCTTTACTTAAGCAGTTTTTTTTTGGGACTGTTTTTTTTTTTTTTTTTTCGCCCTCTCGCACCGATTTTGGGGTACCCAGAGGATGTCATCCATAAAAATAAAAAAGTGTGGCCTAAATAGGAAAATTACATAATTATATCACCCTTTAAAGAAATAGACCTAGACACACAGAGTGTTAACCATTATACATTATACGGTATGTACATGTAACTGATACTTCTCGAGTGTATTTGTATCTGCAGGCACACGACACTGCGTCGCCGTGCTGCTCAGCAACATTCCCTTCCTCATCATATATGTTGGAAAAGAGCGTAGCATATGTCCAGAAAACACAGACAGTAATTATAAGGTTATCATAAGGTTAAAATAACCAAAAAACGTCATGCAGCAACGTGACAATATAATACCGTTATGTGTTTGCTAGGTGCACGTGTACGTGTATGGCTTCATAATGGATTTTTTCGTCGACCGATGCAATCGAGCGATATAGTTTGTATCAGTTCATTTTGTTGACGGTCCTAAAGTTCTCCAGGGCCCCGTAACTTGAAAGCATCGCGTACTGCGAATAGCGATATCACATAGAGGCTACAATGTATTATATGGGGCGAGTATGGGCGAGTTATGAATCGAGACGCTTGCGCTCGGTCGCAATGCGCGATGCTTTCGAGTTACGGGGCCCAGGTGTTCGCTTCCTGCTTCAATGAGTTTACTTATCGATCGTGTAGGGTGCTGAGACTCTTATCAGGTGACTGAAGTACCTATAAATAGCCCTTCATGTCGCCAATCTCTACAATTGAAGTAATACAGCCTGTATTCTCTATGTAAAATGTTCGAAACCGCTCTGGATATGCTAAAAACAGGTCACGTAATAGTTTCTGTTTCTGATTGTACAGCCCAGCGCACATAAACAAGTCTCACTTATCTTTAGCTTATTTGTAACTAATCTGCTTATGTGTGCCGTAAGTATCTAACCTATTGATATCTTATAGTCATACAATGCTCGTTAGACCTTAATGCAACAATAAGATCAATAACTCGATGATAATATGTTTATGGCCAAGGTATGCCGCATTTAACACTGTTGAAAAATCCCATAAACCTGTTTACCAATTTTTTAAAGTTTAAGACATGAGAAGATCCAAATTTTACCGCAGTGAGTGAATTTCACCGGTCCCAATTTCCATTACGAGAATGAATGAAACTACAAAGTAACAAGTCAAAAACGGGTTTGTGGATCGCTTTTCTGACAACAGTTTTGAACACCTTGGTGGTGAGCGCATTAACCAAATATCGAGATGTCTAGGGTGCTATTTACTCGTTAAGGTCTCACACGAACGGCAAACGTCAAAGCAAACCCGCCGGTAATGTAGTCACGCTATTGTCTCTTTTCTCGACCGAGCAAAAACAACGCCGTTCATCCTGTCCTGCATGTGTGATCAGGGTTGAATTGTGTATTCTTCTTATACGTAACCTTAATGTATATATTGAATATTGATTCAGTTGCGATTCAACACGCGTTCGTTGTTATAAGTTAAATACCCATGAACGTCGGAATCAACAAACAAATGGTCGCCCACTTCCGCGGTCGTTAAGACGTCTCNAATCTGTGCACTACATATTTTTAGGAACATGTCTGTGACATCGTTTGCACCTCTATATTGGGTTTGGGTGGTCTACGTATAGGAAAAACTGCGGAAATAGTGTCATTCTTGACTCCCCAACAAATGACATAATTAAATTGATTACTTTGTGAGTATATTTCTTTGAATAGTTAATTTATCAAGCATAAAATGTTTCAACTTGAATTTAAATAGAACATATTTCATTTGAAATGGTATTATTATTATTGTTTTTCACTTATTATCTACCTGCACCTGCAACTAGCAGCCCTCACAGCTGATGACCTTGTGACTGATTACCAGACAGTCATTGACAGTCATTTATGCATGCATGTATGACCAGATTCTAGAATATGCCTCACCCAGCTGTTTAGCCCATTGGTTATTAACTCATGAATTAATTCACGGTAAAACTGAATGTCTCAAGAAAAAGCGTTCAAGAAAATTCACCCTGATCCGGTTTGCTTGTAACCAAAGTATAATTGAAATACGCGCAAATCAACTGAAAGGTAGTTACAAAAGTAAACCCTGATCGTAAAGCTGTGCTTACTTCTAGAAGCAAGACAAACTGTCACATAATCAGTATGGGTGTTGAAGATTGCATTCAAGCGAGGAAAAAATCGAAACTAAACGATCAGTTGGTGATCTGCATCACAATTCGAAGCTTTAAATCTCTCTACATTCAGCTGTTCAATTTGTTCTAATTAGCATAAGGGAACTTTATAGTTGTTACTATGCATCAATATTATTATTTATTATTTTTATCTGACTTTTTTATTATGTATTTTGCATTTATTCAACTCTTTATGATGTACCAAATGTTAAAAGACGATTACAGTTATGAAAGTATAGAGAAACATCCAGTCTACATTCTGCATTCTGATTTTATAACCGCAAGTAAATCTTTGCATAATTACTTATAAATAAGTCATTTTGTAAATATTTCTAAATATTTCACCTATTTAAGTGGATTTTAAACAGTTCTATTACATGCCTTTTTGCGCCGAAGCATTAGGAACATATATTGAACTATTGATACATATTCCCCTAGTTACTTGTATTTCGTTTAAACTATTTTGTGTTCTAATGTAGCTTTTAAACATTTGTTATCGATTTCATAGTGCTTTGGCTTCGTGGGAACCCTTTCCATTATGTAAGATATTACGTTTCACTTTATAATGCCTTAATACTTTTTTCTGCTTGCTCTTTTTGCGTCAAAATTACATTATGGATTATGGATTTGTAAACGATATGTAGATAGGGTACCGAATAATCATTAAAGAAAACGTGTTGAATTTTTCATAACAATTGAGTCTCCGTTACTTCGTCATTATGTCCAAGGTTATATATATAGATGTCTCGGGCTCATTGAACAACATGTCCATGTTGCAACGACCAAGGTCAAAGACCGCTCCGTAATCATGTTACATTTGAACCGAACTGACGTGAAAGTCGATGGAAGACTTTTGTCAGTGAGGATCGATACAAGGGTTGTATTCACTTCTGATTGG